TGAGACAAGTCACTACAGAGACAAAATCAAAGCCCACACAGCTAACCAAGGAAAAGAGAAGAGACAATAAACTATAAATTTTTTGTTATATGTGTAAGACTCAGGCAAATCACCTGAAAACTTGTTATTAAGAGCAAAAAAAGCATTGTAAACTGCCAGAATTGCATATTGTTGCTAGAAGTATTTAAAAATAGCTACAAACCATGTGGATCACAACACACCCATTGAAGCATAAGTATATAATATCACCACCCATATCAAAAAATAGGGACAAACACCATATATACAACATATTGTTGCAAAAATACTGTTACAAGTAATGCCATAAAGTACCATGAAGTTCATCAAAACTTGCCAAACTTCATACTAGTTCCAAATTACACAATGACTATTTCTTAAAATCAGTAACGCTACTCAATATATACAATGCTCCACTAACTGTGGCCCCTATGTTTTGACTAAAGTTTTGCCCCCTGCTTGATAATATCCCTTTGACTTTCCCAAGGGGACCATCTACGTTGCTTCGGCCACCATCTGGGTCACTACTCTCAACTCCACGACCTAAGCACCTTTTAGGGTATAACACTTGTCTAACCTCCTCATCTATTGGCGGTGTAGGAATGGGTTATGTCGAGATCGGATCCTTTGATCGGGAGCTAGTCCCTCCAATGTCCCCAAGCATATTATCATCCTCATTATCATTATGAAGCTCCTTTAATGGGATTTGACAATACTTGGATAGGTAGCAGAATGCATCAATGGCCAAATCCCAGTCCTTGGATCTGATACCATCTCTCAAGAGCTATGTGCCACGGTAGATGTCCTCCCACTATATTATAAAACCAAATGTTAATTAACAAAAATAACACAACAATGGTTCCTACAGCAAATCGGTATAAACGATGGAATGTGGGTGGCCTACCACATTGTCTTTTACCTTGGTAACCTCGAAGATGGTATTTTGTAGTCCTTAGTTGGTGGTAGTTGTGGATAATTGGCCTAGTCTTGCGTTTGTACCAAGCCGCATAGACCTCTGATGGCTGACCACTAGTCATGTCAACCTCTCCTCTCCCAAAGCGTGATCTCATTTCGTAATCAGAGGATGTTTCCCATGCTTCTCCCTCCTTTGCCATTGAAATGGGGCAACATGTATCGATTGGCAAATACGAAACTAGTGAAGGACGTGATCTGACATGTGATCCTCACATGTGTGCCGGATATAAGGTATGTGCAACATAAAGTCATTGCATGTACCTCCTTTGCATATGCTTGCTCGTCCTCCTCTCCAATGTCAAGCTCGTCCTCATATGGGGTCCAAGACACCTACAGAGGCATTATCAAATATTACAACATAAATTTATACTGATGTGAACTGGAAAAATTAATATGTAGCAAGAAATTAACGAAGGAGTTCCTTATACAAACCTCCTGAGGTTTAAGATTATCAAGCTCCTGACGTTATGTGAGAATAAAATGGCGGATGTTCACCCATCTTCTGGGACTAGCCCAACTAAGGGCCCTAGGCAGTTCTGCTTGAATCTGTTTGGGCTCTGGTCGTGCTTATACGCCCAACACTGAAATATATATGTATAAATCGTACACGTGAATTTCTTCTTGATGTAAAGGCCTTAATTCATTACTATAAGCACATAGAAGAATATAAAGTACATAGAAGAATGACTTACGAGTAACAATGTTCTTGAGCTACTCAAATGACAGTGGTTGGAGCTAACGAGCTTCGACAAACTTCGAAACAAGAATGCTAGTGCAGTTGCACCCAACACATACCTCTCAGGTGCATCAATGTCATCGAATAATTGTAAGTATATCATCGACACCCCTTGTATCGCATCAGCAAATATAGTCACGCCTATCAGGTAGAGGAGGTACGCACATATATATCGTTCTAATGTCCTTTGATTATAAGCCTGAGGTAACACATTGATTTTTTCCCTCAGCCATGCCAGTATAATGTTTGTGAGATATCTCCATTTGTACCTCACTACAAGACGATTGAAAATGAAGTCGTTATAGTTGTCCACCTTTTGTAAAGTAAAAGCATTGCCTGTCACCTTCAACCTTAAAATCTTTTATGCATCTTCAAGTGTTGGCATCATCTCACCAATAGAGGGGTTAAAGTGGGCAGTGTTGGTCTCCTTGCACCATTTCAACGATCACAAACAATGCGCAGTCGTTAAGACACTCCATCTTGATAAGTGTTAATAGGTAGGCCAGAGCACTTCACCAACTTGATCTAATCATCATTATTCATACGTCAGTCATTTAAAGTAGTCGTCATCTCATCAGATTTGAGTGGCAGGTGCCTCTCCTATAAAGAAACAATGTCCCAATTGTGAATAAATATATACATTATGACATATGCATGTTCATCCTATTATTACAACGTGAACAAACTTGAACGGTATCTTACATGTCCATTACATATTAACTGAGAGATATGACTCTTTTGTTGCTTGAGAAGTGTGAGAATCTCATGTCCTCCAAGAAACTGCTCTTCTTGATCTGTCATAGCTGCAACACATGAATAATATCAATACACAAATCCAAGGATGACCCATTGTACTATATGGTAAGGTGCAATATAAATGCAAGCATATGCTTAATAGTTGGAGATCTATCAATGTTAAAAATTTGCAAGCAACAGTGTTATGTAACCCTGCATTTGAAACCCGATGAAATAAAATTTTTCATAATATTAGTCTCCCTAGATTTGAAATCCGTTGAAATAAAAGTGCCAAAATAAGGAGGTGGGGTGCACTGAATCCTTGAATAAGAAATCCGTAGCTATAAAAATATTATTATTGAACCAATCATAACATAAGCAAGTAAACACAATCTTACAAAACATTAACATGTTTTCTTTACAACTACATAACACTGATGACCACGTGTTCAAGACTAACTCCCAGACATAGCTGAGCAAGTACAATAAGGGCATGTATACACCATTAGTAATGTAGAATGATGAAGCAAAACATCCAGTATTCAATTTACAATGGATGTGTCCTGAGTAGTATATCAATTTACAATACTTCTCTATTCATGTATGTTGGCATATTATAAAGGCCAGTCCCCATGATGTCATTTATCATTGTGATACATCACTACCTATATATGTAAGGTAAGGGCAGTATGGAACTTTGTACATGCACCACAAAAGTAATTTCGTAAATTTTATGGTATAATTTGAGAAAAGAAAATTAATCTCCAATCATAATGAATGAGATTCACTGCATAACTCCTATTTTAAGCATTGAGTTTTGCTACACATTAGAAACTTGTGATGATTGCAATTTCAATATAGTTGTATGAGTAGTGCCCATTGACTCATGTCTCCCACATAAGAGTCAAGTGCAATTACTATACATGTGGCTACCATCTGCTAACACCTAAATAAAGACATATTTGAACTTACCCAACTTCATAGATCATTGCAAGCCAACATATCAAACCATGTCCGTCGAGAATAAATGGCCTTATGGGAATGAGTCCTAAATGATCTATCATCTACCCATGCACATGCAACAAGAGCTCATCTTGACATAAAATATTATATTTGATACAATCAATCAACTGTCATCATTTTTTATTTGTATAGATTTCTATTTAATACATACCATGTATAAGCTCTGAATTGTTAGAAACCTCTAGTATGGTACCTTCATTTTCGTGAGCTCTAAAAAGCTTAAATCAATCTTTGCATTAGAGCAACAACAATTCGGGTATAGCATGTTTGTTGGGTATGCTTATCTCATTAGCATGGTTAGTTGTATAAAAAGTGACTAGGATCAGCTAGTCCAACACAAATAGAAGTGCATAATTTGTTTGACTTAAAGATGTGGTCATTACATGTACAATGGTGATCAAAATCCAGGAATTCTTAGCACCACAAGTTCAGAGTAGTGTTTCTTTGTGATGTGGTGATCAAATTATAGGAAATTCATTTTTCAACTTTGTGCTTTCATTTTTCAGCTTCCTCAAGCCAAATCCTTTCAAAAACACATTACACTTTCACTACAAGTCAAACTCTCCATTTTAACAAAAAAAAAAGAAAGCTCCCTAAATGGGTGGCCGTGTCACCCATGATAGTGTCTCATGGGCTCCACCATCTAGGCCATGGTGGGCTCATGTGCACAATGGGCCCCCATACAATTTTAACTATTTTAAAATTCAATAAAATAATTTTTAAAATTTATTTGAATATTTAAATCAATGTAAAATCAATATATCTGATTTTATAAATCTAAAATTGATAAATAAACCAGATATTTATAAAAATTCAAATAATAATACTAAAATAATGCATACCATAAAACAATCATAATTACTTAATACCAACATATTAGATAATTCATTTTGAGAAGCATAACATTTAATTCACATGATTCTAAGTTTTTTTTAGGGGTGGCAACGATCAGGTATGGGTCGCATCCGACTGGACCCGAATCCAGACCGGAATGTATTTGGGTTCAAGTTTTGGACCCAGATCCGACCCGTCGGATCCAAAAGTTGGACCCATACCCGTATCCGTTGGGTATCGGGTCTGGTCTGGTCTGGTCCATTGCCACCTTTACCATGACTTTTTTTTTTTGCCCCTTTCTTTACTATCATATAACTAAATTATTGACAATAAGGTCACAACCCGCCATTAGATTTCAAGCCATCTTATTTACCGTTTAATAGCTAAAGATGATTATGAATTCTTATTGTATATTATCCTTAATAGACCCAAATGAATAGGGCTTGAAGTATTTTACCTCCAACAGTTTACAGGTATGGGTTTGGTCCAACTGAACCCGAACTCAAACCCTACACACGGGGTCCAAATGTTGGACCTATAACTAAACCCAGTTGCGTATACCGGCGGTTGCTGGGCCGGGTATTGTCGCCCCTATTTTTTTCAATTATGCATGTGTATATCGCTAGCAGTCACTATTCCTTGGTGGATCCAAAAATTCCGAGCCAAAAAATTTCTTTCAAGTGCTTTCTTTCCCAGTAAATAATGCACAGTACGATTCCGCGACGAGAAAACCTGCTCTCATTTTCGACTTTTTAGTAAGGCCAAGCGGCCAAGGGTTGGATTCTCTGGAGTGTCTCAGCATTTTTGAGACATTTGCTAAGAGAGAGAGACGATATTCACCTAGCACAAGGAGCAAGCATTCTCTCTCTCAAGGCAGAAAAGTAGCAAGCATTTTCTCTCTCTCTAGTAAACATAGGCGGTGGGGAAGAAATGACAGCTTTTTCTTCGGAGTTGCAGAGCACTCTGAAAGAAGCCCTAAACGCTCTGTATCATCATCCCGACCCCGAAGTTCAGCGCCAAGCTGAACGATGGCTTCAAGACTTTCAGCGCTCCATAGATGCTTGGCAGGTGAGCCGAGTTCTCTCTCTCTCTGTCTGTATGTCTATCTATCTACAGTCTCTCTCTCTATCAAGCAGGATAATCAATCTATTTTATGAATCGTTAGTACACTACTAGTTTGAACTCAGTTGTTTCTTATGGAGATGGTTTTGTTTATCTTTGTCCTATGAATTTTTGATGATTAATATTAAGTTGGGCGTTTTTTTTTTTTCCATTTATATTGGTTAAATGGTGTGTATGGGTACTTGCGATGAATTACACCTGCAACTGTAACTGCTGTGGGGTTTTTAGCTTTGCGGTCGTTTTGTTTGATCCTTTTATTTATTTCTTTTATGTTTAATATTATGCATAGTTGTGTTCATGTAGGACGTGATGAATTAATTTGTGGTGTATCTCATTTGAATGTTCACAATGTTGAATGAATTATAGAAAGAAAGTGATTTGATTGTCACGCTCAGCGTGCAATAACAAATTGTATAATTTTCAGACCATTGCAAATTTCCAGGATAATCCTCATTCCAATCTTTTGGAAACCTTGGAAACATCATGACAATAGAAAAAAACTCATGATTCATTCTTTTAGCTACAGTTGAAGTTATTCTATCCACCCTAGTGGTTTGTGGTGATTGATTGCTAAAAAAAACAAAAACTGGTGTGCCATGGCAAAGATCAATAGCTTTTTCTTCTCTCGCCTGATAAAGAGAACAACTGGTTGAAAGCAAATAGGTGCCAAATGGGTTGATTGACCAATAATGCATGTCATATATGCTTCATTTTGCGAGTTGGGTAAGTTGGCTACCAGGGACATTGGTTTCTTGTTTGTTGCGACTCACTATATTGTGGGATTTGCACATGATATGATCTTAGTGTATTTGGATATCTGTGGTAGAAGTGGATGTTGTGATTTTAGCTTCAATTATGATCTTTAGCATCCTCTTTAATCTATTATGGACCCAAGAGATGATCAAGCCGAATTTTCCTCAATGTTTGGTTTCTTCTGTTTTGAGTCTCCCAATCAAGATCTCTCAACCATTTTTTCCCTTGCTTTCATCATTGTGCCCCTTTTATTTCTACTTCCTTGAAGGGGACGGAAATATTGGCATGGCATAAAATATAGTATGCGATTTCTTCATTTATGTCTCTCTTTCAATTATGTGGACGATTTCCTATGCAAGTTGTGGAAACACAATGAAACATTTTGGGGCTTTAGAAAGGGTTTCTCTAAATGATAACAAAAATTAAGGTGTTTCTACTATTTGGGAGTTTACATTCTCCTTTTGCTATAATGAAGCATTATCTGCTTCTTTATTCTTATGTGCACAACCTGGGTTCCCTGTTTAATCTTTCTCATTTCTTTATGAGGACAAATCAATAGGTCCTCCTTGTAGATACTCATGGTTTCATAATGGAGAACCCCTTATGGTTCTATTCTTATCATGGAGTTTCCTTTTTCTGTCAAGATATGATTTTGGATTTCTCCTTTAGGAGCAATTGTGTTTTTTGTCATCATTTTCTCTTCCCCAATAGTGTATACCATTCCGATTTCAAAAGGTAAAAAAAAAGAGGGTATACCATCCGTAAACACTTTGGGATTGCAAGGTGAATGCAGGTTTCACCTGTTCCCAATTGCCATCCTATGGATCCTAAGAACACTAATATCTTATTAGCTAAGGTGGAAGCTTTGCCACCACTCCTTCGCGTCCTCTTAAACAATTATTAGAGATGATGGGGTGTATGAGAGTCTTTATTCAATTCATAGTGTTGCTTATTTTGATAATATGCACAATATTTACATGGAGCCATGTTATTGAGGCTTGTGGGTGTTGTAGTTCAACTATTCGCTCCATTATCAGTTCCCAAGAGCTATGGAAACTGCATTTTGAGGAATATAGAAATGTTGAGACCAAGGATTGACATTCCCTTGAATAGTGAAATCCTTAAAAGTTTATCAGGTTCTTAAGTTTCAAAATAAGAAAAAAAAAGTTTCTTAGGTTCTTGGCTCATTATTGTATAAATCCATTGTTATGGGCTAAGGGCTTTCATTCAGATGAAACTAACTAGTGAACTTCTCTACAAGTTTCTGGCATTTAGCGAATGCTATTAAATTTGTAGTTTTGGTATGTCCCTTTTTCCGTCTTTGGGTATTGACGATCAATCATGATATGTTTTATGGATGAGAATTAGTGTTCCAAAAAACGGCAGGCAGCGCCTAGGCGACCGGGGGGTCCTGGCCGTCAAGGTTTTGGGATGCCGCCATGGACCTAGGTTGAAAAGGGCTGGGTACAGGGGAATATGAGTATACATCATAAAATATCAAAAATCCCATAATCCAAAAAGTTTCAGACCATTGCAAATTTGTAAAAGATAGACTACTAGCACAACTAAAAATAAAATCGAATAGTAATCAGTAAATTAGTAATATAGGCACAATCTATAATCCATACTCCATAGACCATACTCCATGCTCCATAGTTCATATCATTCTATAATCCATAGTTCCATACAATGATACAACCATATATGCATACACATAAGAGTAGATAAGTAGAAACTAGAAAATAAGAAAACAGTCTAAGACTCAACACCAAGCGTCAAGTGTCTTAAGTCATCATTAGAAAAAGTAGGGTAAGCCTCATAATATGCATTGGAGTCGAGGCCATCATCATCAGAGTCATCTCCCTCTTTAACATAATGCTCATCCTCATCTGTTTCTTCTAAATCTGCCTCTTCCTCTTCTTCTTCTTCCTCCCTCTTACTCTGTGCAGATGAGGCCCTAGGGGTCTTGGCTGCTCTACCTAGTGACTCTGCCCCCTTTTCTTGCCTTTTGTGTTTCCCTGAACTCAAATATTGCTTAATCTCCTCCTCCCTGGTAGCCTCAGGAACATTTTTATATAGGGCAACATCCCCTTTAATGCCAGCAAGTTATTTCTTGAACCGGTAAATACCCCTATTTGTATCCTTTCCACAATAATTACACCTTATACATTTTTTGTCATTCGGATACAGGCTATGACCATACTTCCAACCCAAGTCACCACTTCTTGAAGAACTTGGATAAAATATTTCCATATAACAAGGTTCCTTTTTTGGTTTTACTAAATTCAAATATTATCTAATCTCATTCCTAATAGCTTCAAGAACCTTCTTACAAGAAGCAACATTCCCTTTAATACTGGCTAGTTGTTTATTGAATTGGTTAATACCCACATTGGTATCTTTTTCACAAAAATTACACCTTATGCAATTTTTATCATTTGGTTTCGAGTTACAATCATGCTTCCAGCCCAAATCACCACTTCTAGAAGAATCAGAAAATAGAAATAGACTTATCCAAATGTTAAGGCTTTTGTTCATGTTTGTGTTGTATCAGACTCAAATATTGCTTAATTTCATCTCTGATAAAGGGCAATGTTCTCCCTAATATCAGCAAGGTGTTTTTTGAACCGGTTTATACCCTATTAGTATTTTTTTTGCAATAATTACATCTTATACAATTTTTGTCATTTGGATTTGGGTTATAACTATACTTCCAACTTGGATCACTACTTCCAGAAGAACCTGAAGAAGACACTGAAATAAAAAATAAAATCTCAAATATGAATATTTTTAACTAACTTTTTTGCTCCATCTTCAATAATCAATGTTTGAGATGTTTCCCAAAATACTTCCCCAAAACCGTCTAGTAAGCTTCAAAAATCATCAAAATCAAATCCGAATCAAGAAGACGATGATTGGATCGATTTTTCAAAACTCTGAAATACTCGATTGATTTCTTAGAAATTAAAAAAATGACTATTTTTAAATTTGTTTTCACTCTAAAGGTAAACAAAGGGGTTTAGGTCTCACAATAGTCTAAATCCCCCCTTTTCCCCCTTACTTAGGGGTAAAAAAGACAAAAAATGCCTCTCAAAGAGGGGCATTTTCGACGTTAGGCGGCCACTCTAGGCGGGGTCTTGAGCGCCTAGGTGGCTGCTCAGGGACTTGATGCCCATGATGCATCGCCCAGGCCCCCTAGGCGGGCCGTTTTTTGAAACACTGATGATAATTATACTATTGAATTATACAACAGACCCCTTACCTTTGGCACTTTTGCCTCTATCGGATCCTTCCTCCTTCATGCTTTTCTCTCTCCCAGCCTCCTCATTTAATAGTGAAACTCTCTCGCCACCTGTTCCTGACTTGAACCCTATGGAGTGGTCGCAATACCCCTTTGGTAAAGTGGTAGTGCACCCAGTGGACCCAACACCTCTTGACTTTGAGTTTCTCTTTGCTCTTCTCGCCTCTTACTTCCCTTTCACCCGCCACTTGGTACCTATATGCTGAGTTAGGACATTTCACCTCCCGTACCCCCTTGAACTTAGTCACCCCCAACCCTCCTACTTGGCACAACTGGCATTTGACTCATTTCAACCTACCACTATTTGACCTACCATCCATCGCTTTTCCCTGGGTCAGTTCAGGCATATAGCACCCCTCCTTATCCCACGCAGGTACCTGCTGTACCATACTAGCTCTCACCTTACCCTCTTCCTTGTCACTACCAGGAGAACCAATGTTCGGCCGTCACCCTTCCTACCCTCTCCTCTTTGTAAGGTGTCCCAATCCCCCCCCCACCCTCCAAACCACCACCTCTGAACCCTCAATCCCTGTCCCCCCTTTTCTCTGCTACCCCCGTTGACCAAGCCTCGGATTGCTCCAACCTTCTGTCTCCTCCTACCCTTGACCCCTTACCTCTGCTACCTCCTGATCTTTACTCGTCTAATCCCTTCGATATACCCACTTCACCTTCTGGGGAGGATCCAAAGCCCCCCACCCCCATTCCCTCTCTTTCAGTAGATGGCACAGAATTTCCTGAACAGTCGGAGGGGGTCGACGGAGAGGGGGTCGAAAGAGATTTAAACAGAATGAAGGAGATATTCAGAGTTATGGGGTTCCCTCACGATGGACCTGAAGGCCCGTTCCACCAATTCCTCTTGTCGGACGCGAGCAGGTTGAAGGTGAGCTTCAGAGGACAAAGGGAGATTCTCAACCTTTTCTCTAGTGTTAACTACGATAAACCTGCTCTAGCAGGGCCCCCCTCGACATCCCCCGCTCATGCTTCCCCTCGGGATACTCTACCTAGGAAGTCCCCTAGACTGGCTTCCTTGTCAACCAGTTGTTATTGTTATTGACAACAACAACAACAACAACAACAACAACAACAACAACAACAACAACAACAATAACAATAATAATAATAATAATAATAATAATAATAATAATAATAATAGTAATAATAATAATAAATATAATAAATTGGGCCTTTAACCACGATTTGAAGCCTGAAATATTCAAATTACAAAAACCCATAGAGGTAAGGGTCTTAGATCTCGAAGACATCTCGGTTTTGTGCTTTGGATGGGACATTCGGATGAAAAGTTATAGCTTCAGAAAGCACTCTGTATCATACATCCTAGGTTCAAACCTTGGTGCTGACTTATCCGAAAAAAAGGTTGTTTTTTGACATAGGGGGGAAATCAGAAACTTCCTTTCAAAATTTTCTAACAACTTCTTAGATGGATTAGTAGAAAGTGTATACTTGTTAAATAAGTTTCTCTCTCTCTGTTTTTTTTTTTGGATAAAACAGTCTAGATAGTGTCAAAACCTTTCTGACTTCATGGTGCATATATTTTCCGGATGCATTGTATTGTGTGGGTGGGGTGTTATTGTGAGTTCGTCGCTTTGCTAACCTTGTGGTTGCCTTTTTGTCTTTTTGCATATTTTATCTTGTGGTTGCGTTTGTAATGAAAACAAGTGTATATTATCTGCAGAACTGTAGGTCTTTCTTGGAAAAACCTAACGGGTGTTGTATTGCAGTCTGCTGAATGGTGAAACAGAGGCTTCTCATATTTGCTTGTGTGGTGCTTGTATTGATTGTAATATATACTTTTCCATGTGATCTAACTCATCTTTCTCAACAAATTGCAATTCTTTCAGGTATCTGATAGTTTACTTCATGATGCCAGCAGCGACCTAGAAAGTCTTATTTTCTGTTCTCAGACGCTGAAAACTAAGGTAATCTATTCTTTTTGTAGGCTTTAAGTGTGTTCATTGAGTTTAGTAATTTTGCTTTTTATGTTTTGCAATCGTTTGAAGTTCTTTTATTTTGGGCATCGATTTTCAATTGATATTTCAGTTAACTGAAAAAGCCCAAGTAATATTTCATTTAATTTTTAGGTGCAGAGAGATTTTGAGGAACTTCCTTCTGAAGCTTTTCGGCCCTTACGTGATTCACTATGTGTAAGGAATTCCTACACTATTTGTTTTTAATGACGAAGCATAATAGAAAAAATTTAGTTGATTGAATTTGTTTAGTGAAATGAACCAAATATCATTAAAAAGAAAAAAAAGAAGAAAGCGAATGGGCAAACCATGCATCTTTTGAGCAAGTAGTTTAACCATGTGAATTCTTGCTTGTAGCTAGCATGTATCAACTTGATCAGATGCCCATTTTTGTACACAGTAGTATTAGGTTCTGAAGGTGTGGTCTCTTGGGCCGGATGAATGACTCATGCTTGATGGATAGTTGTAGGCATTTGAATCTTTTTCAATGTGCTCTATCTCGTTTACCATATTCCCCATATCTTCTTCATCTTTTGCATGACCTAGGAGTTGTGCTAAATGCAGTCATTGCTCAAAAAGCTCCACAATGGACCAACGAAAGTCAGAACACATGTAATTTTCTGTGGAATCGCTATCTGCAATTTTTGTTTTTCGTTTAAGCAATGCTCATAGCATGAAAGTCACTCCTAGATCACCTCTTTGTTTTGCAGATTAGTGTAGCGGTGGCTTCTTTGGCAGTGCAAGTCTCTTCAGAAGATTGGGGTGGTGGTGGCATTTTGAACTGGCTAAGAGATGAAATAGATTCTCATCCGGAGTATATACCCAGTTTTCTGGACCTCCTCAGTGTCTTGCCACAGGCATGTTCTATGTAGAGCATTTGAACATAGGTCTCGATTTTTTGCTTCTTTGAAGGTCCTGTATGACTCATCGTATGTTGTGTACCTACCATACTTTGTTTAGTTTTACTATTATGGCCACCAAGAACTTGATCGAGGCTATTTCTAGTCTTCATTTAATTAGAAGATGATTTTGTCAATGCTATTTCTAAAGCGAATTTGTACATATTATTATATTCAATTCGCTTATCAAATATTTATAGATTCTCATTTTGTGGTTCATTATGTTTCCATTCCAAATATCATTTCAATTGGATTGACAATACATGTGGAAGTCATAATTGGAATTCTGGAAGTGAGTGAGAGAATAATATTAAAGAGTACTTCAAAATTGGGAACTACCTCTGTTTGAAACGCTTGGACCCCTTGGTAGGCTGTCTATGCGGCCAGGCAGCCTAGGTGAAGCGCACTGCCCTAGGTGTTGAGGTGCCTAGGCGCCCGCATCCTCCTGTGCCACTAGGCGGTGCCTCAAGCGCTTGGTGAGAGGGCGGATAATGCACTCCGACAATGGCATTTTGGGTCAAAGGGGTTTCAGCAGCATTGCACACCTCCCCCCCCCCCCCAGCCACCCACCCACCCAGCTGAACCAAGTTTCGTCCTTAAAGAAAATATTGGCTTCTTGAGTCATGTCTAAAAATGTTTCGGCAAGGAATGAAGCGAGCCATTTTAGAGAACTTATCTCACACCATGACCATAGATTCACCCCCTCTTGAGGTGCGGGGAAGCCCCACCACAGTCCATACTCAGATCTGTCTGTAGTCAGTCGGAGATGGGTAAGGGAGTGTAAAGGCTGGTGTTTTGAGTTTGATCCTTAGCCAACTGGCACACTTGGCAGCACTCCATGAACTGGCTGACATCTCCCTTTAGTTTGGGGCAAAAGTACTTTTCTTCCACTAGAGCTGTGGTCTTATCCCTCCCAAAGTTACAGCAAAGGATGTTACCGTGCATCTCACTCATGATTTGGATGTGAATTGATCCCTTAGGAAATCAAAGCCGACTTCCTTTTAAGAGAAAACCATCCTGTAAAACAAAAACAATGTCCTTTACCTATGACTTCTACATATGTTGTTCGCAACCCGGAGTTCACTTCTCCTCACCTATACCCACTTGTGGCGACAACATCACTGGTATCAAGATTTCTAGTAACCCAGTATTCTATGACTAGACACACCATAATGGGGTCGATTGTTGTCTATTCGAGAGTGTTTTGCTGGTGGTGTTCTTTCTCATCCATACATAAAAAGAGGATCGGATTATCTTCATGGTTTCATTCAAACCAAGGAAAATTCCTTGTTAATGCAAGGCTCCTATGGCCCCGCCAATAGTTCACTTGCATCTAGTTCCAGTATGTTTTAAGTTATGCTTACACCAAGTTAGATGCAAGGAGTTGCTGTAATGATACCTCTGCACTACCGAATGGTGTTTAAGAGGGATCTCCTACAAGGGGATTCCTACTGGGGAGAACTGTGTTTACTTGAAATACTCAGTTTTTACTTTGTTTTTCAAGTTTTTTTGCATGCCCATTTGACATCTATATGTGCTTTTCTTGTTATTCCACGGTCCTACAAGATACATGAAAGTTACATGTAAAATGTGATTCGCAAAATCACCATTTGGTGGATATTGGTTACTTTATGCTTGAAGCTTTCTATGTAAAATGTGATTCGCAAAATCACCATTTGGTGGATATTGGTTACTTTATGCTTGAAGCTTTCTATTTGCTCAAAACTTTTATTTCTGTCTTTTAACATTTCCTGAATTTTCGGCATTTCTTGCCCTTCCATTTGTGCGTTTTGAACTACTGCAGTTGATTATGTTTTGTAGACACATTCATCTATACCATTCATAGCGTCCCAGTATTTCATTCAGAAGTTTGTATTTGATGCATCAGGAGGCATGTAGCTACAAGACAGCAGCTCGCCCAGAAAGGCGTCGCCAATTTCAGAAAGAGCTGTTGTCATCAATGGAAACTGCTTTGAATCTCCTAACATATTGCTTGAGAAGCAATGAACTGCAGGAACAGGTATTTGATTCCTTTTGGGTGAACGTCTTACTACTTGCAGAATGCCAATGACATGTAATACTTAAAGTTGTTCCTTTGCATTATCTTACACTCTGTATCACATTTTGGTTTTGTTAAATATTGAAAACATTGTGAAAAGACAAAAATAAAGTCATGTGTCCAGCTTCTATTTTGTAGACTGAATTTTGTTTTTTCTAGTTTTTAGTATACCTTGTTTTGTTGGAAAAGTACTTCTCTCAATGATGGATGGTTATTTTAAAAAAATATCCTTTATAAAATGCCAGGTTTTTTAGGTTAGGAACGTGCTGTCTGCATGCTCTAGTATCGTACATATATATGGTGATAAACAATCAACTTATATTGCATGACAGGTTCTGGATGCCTTCTCTTCATGGCTTCGGCTAGGCTATGGGTATGATCTTTTGTGCTTTTAAAATTCCTGCAATGTGTTTTAATAATAATGCAAAGTGCACCTTGTAGACATGGCTAGATTGATTACTGAGGACTCTATTCATGTACGGCTGTCATGTGTTTTTTTACATGTTACTTTCTTCAAAAAGAAAAATGTACCTGTATACAGCGTGTTAGATGTGCACGTTATATGTATATGTGTACATGTTTCTGACATGCATGTATACAAATTTTTGGGCTCGTGTTTGCATGCATTAGGTGGCATGTTATTCAACAGTTCCTCAATTGCAAATGTTGCTGTCACTAATAAATTATGGTTCTTATTAAAAAAATCGTATGTCTTATATTTTTCCACATGTTGTTCTGTGATTCTTGTTCTTTTTCCTTTTCCTGAAGTCATTCATCTCTCTCTCTCTCTCTCTCTCTCTATCTCTCTCCCCCTTCGGACCTTATGTTTTTTTTAATGATTAGAACAGATCAAAAGAATGCACTTGTTCATGGTTTAATGTTTTACTATTTTCTTTCTCTTTGCCAAGTGCATTGTTATCTTGTCCTCTTCCTGTACACTGTTGGATCTCCCATGGTAAAAGGTTTTCTGTGTTCTCTTTTCCTTCTATCTCCTGGCAAATGTTTCTACATTGTTTTCCTTTCTTCATTGGTCTTTCAATTTCTTATTATTTGATTCGCATTAACCTATTAAAGTTAGGGTTTCAAAAACCAGATCAGTGACTCCGGATTGTCCATTCTGAAAATCGAGTCAGATCAGCAGATCGGTGGTCTTGATAGGAGAATCGGCCGGATCCAACCTTAAAAAAATTTCATGAAATCACTATAATTTCTTAAAAATCTAGTTTTTTAGGTTTCTAAAAAAACGTGGTATTTGCATTATGGTTTTTCATTATCTTATAAAAAATATGTAAATAGGAAAATCTATCCCATGTCTGAGTGTTTGTTGTCCATTATTCATTTTACAGTCAAAATAAATTTTAAAATGTAACTCATAGCGATAAAATGGATCTCTCTAGTTCAATTTTTTTTTTTTGTATTGTTATAATCTCCAATGGATCTCTCTAGTTCAATTTTTTTTTTTTTGTATTGCTATAATCTCCAGTGCCGCTTGGTGCTTATAAAGGTAAGGGATCTAGCCACTTTCCTCAAAAAAGGGATAAAGGGAACTTGGCCTACTCGTCTTATTTTTTCCCTCTTCTCGAAAATTAATTTATTGAATTAATTAATTATTTTTATTTGCCTTTTTTTATGAATATTTTATCTCTCTAGAGTAGTTTCTCTCTCTCTCTCTCTCTCTCTCTCTCTCTCTCTACTACTACTAC